GGCTGGTTCTCGTTGACTAAAGGCTCGGCAAGTGCCCGCCTAATGGCAGTACAACAGAGTTGGCAGGCTGGTCATCGTTGACTCAAAGGCTCGGCAAGTGCCCGCCTAATGGCAGTACAACAGAGTTGGCAGGCTGGTTCTCGTTGACTCCCAGGCTCCGCAATGCCCGCCTAATGGCAGTACAACAGAGTTGGCAGGCTGGTTAGCGTTGACTCAAAGGCTCCGCAAGTGCCCGCCTAATGGCAGTACAACAGAGTTGGCAGGCTGGTTATCGTTGACTCAAAGGCTCCGCAAGTGCCCGCCTAATGGCAGTACAACAGAGTTGGCAGGCTGGTCATCGTTGACTCAAAGGCTCCGCAAGTGCCCGCCTAATGGCAGTACAACAGAGTTGGCAGGCTGGTTCTCGTTGACTCCCAGGCTCCGCAAGTGCCCGCCTAATGGCAGTACAACAGAGTTAGCAGGCTGGTCATCGTTGACTCAAAGGCTCCGCAAGTGCCCGCCTAATGGCAGTACAACAGAGTTGGCAGGCTGGTTATCGTTGACTCCCAGGCTCCGCAAGTGCCCGCCTAATGGCAGTACAACAGAGTTGGCAGGCTGGGTATCGTTGACTCACAGGCTCGGCAAGTGCCCGCCTAATGGCAGTACAACAGAGTTGGCAGGCTGGTTATCGTTGACTCCCAGGCTCCGCAAGTGCCCGCCTAATGGCAGTACAACAGAGTTGGCAGGCTGGTTCTCGTTGACTCAAAGGCTCCGCAAGTGCCCGCCTAATGGCAGTACAACAGAGTTGGCAGGCTGGTTATCGTTGACTCCCAGGCTCCGCAAATGCCCGCCTAATGGCAGTACAACAGAGTTGGCAGGCTGGTTATCGTTGACTCAAAGGCTCCGCAAGTGCCCGCCTAATGGCAGTACAACAGAGTTGGCAGGCTGGTTATCGTCGACTCCCAGGCTCGGCAGCTGCCCGCCGCGAGACGCGCAGCGAGCCATCGCCTCGGAGAGAAGGCCCTTGTACGCCGCCAGCTCGTCCTCGCAGCCTCCACGCGGCAGGCTGGCGGGGGCGTGGCGGGCGAACGCGGCGGCGCAGCGCAGCGCCGAGCGCAGCGAGCCGTCGTCTCGCTTCGCCGACCCCTTGAGGGCGGCATCCGCGGGCCCGAGTTCGGCGGTGCACAGCGCTCGCCACTTTGGGAGGAGCAGCGCGCGCAACACGTCGAGCGTGGCGAGATCGCCGCCGCCGCCGCCGCTTCGGCCTCCGCCGCTTCGGCCACCGCCGGCCGCCCCACCGGCACCTTCAGCTGCGTCGGCGGCATCGGGCGCC